CCCCCACCCCCATCATGCTGTGCTCTCCAGATGTTCACAATCCTGAAATATCCCATATGACAAAATATATACATGCTGTAATTATCCAAGTAAGTCCATCTTTGCTTACTTTGGTCTGGTTCCCATTTGTCTTATCGGTTAAATAGCAAAACTTTGATTAGTGTGGTAGGCAGAACACTGCCCCCCAACCAAAGATGCCCACATCCTTAATCCCAGGAACCTATACCCATGCTATGTTACATGGCAAGGGGGAATTAAAGTTGCAAATGGAATTTAGGTAACTAATTAGCTGACCTGAGAATAGGGAACATATCCTGGATTATCTAGGTGGGCCCAATGTTATCACAGGGTCCTGAAAGTGTATAAACCAAAAAGTATCTGAGACAAGCCTCAATCAATTTAGAAAGTTTATTTTGCCAGCCGGGCACGCTGGCTCACTCCTGTAATCCCAGCAGTTTGGGAGGCTGAGGAAGGGGGATCACAAGGTCAAGAGATCAAGACCATCTTGGCCAACATGGTGAAACCCCGTTTCTACTAAAAATACAAAAATTAGCTGGGCGTGGTGGCGCATGCCTGTAGTCCCAGCTACTCGGGAGGCTGAGGCAGGAGAATGGCTTGAATCTGGGAGGTGGAGGTTGCAGTGAGCCAAGATTATACCACTGCACTCCAGTCTGTGCCACTGTACTCCAGCCTGGTGACAGAGCAAAGCTCCGTCTCAAAAAAAAAAAAAAAAGAAAGTTTATTTTGCCAAGGTTAAGGATGCACCTGTGACAAAGCTTCAGGAGGTCCTGACGACGTGTGCCCAAGGTGGTCGGAGTACAGCTTGCTTTTATACATTTTAAGGAGACATAATACATCAATCAATACATGTGAGATCTATATGGGCTCCATCTGGAAGGGCGGGACAACACAAAGGTGGGGAGCGCTTCCCGGTCACAGGTAAATTTAAACATATTCTGATTGGCAATTGGTTGAAAGAGCTGTTATCTGTAGAAAAGAATGTCTGAGTTACCATGGGGGTTGCGGAGACCTAGGTTTTATCATGCAGATAAAGCCTCCAAGTAGCAGGCTTTAGAGAGAAAAGTAAATTTCTTATCAGACTTAAGGTCTGTGTTGATGTTAATGCTGGAGGGGTCTAATGAGGCATGTCCAACTCCTACTTCCCTTCATGGCCTGAACTAGTCCTTCAGGTTAGATTTTTAGGGTACCCTGGCTGAGAAGGGGGTCCATTCACATGGTTGTGGGCAGGGCCTTTGAATTTTATTTTTGGTTTACAAGCGTAAGAGGGAGGCGGAAGAGAAAGTCAGAGTGATGTGATGGAGAACTGGTCCTGCTGTTGCTGGCTTGGAAGATGGAAGAAGGCCATCAGTCAAGGAACGCAGACAGCCTCAAAAAGCTGGAAGGGGCCAGGAAACAGACTCCCTGCTACAACTTTCAAAATGGAGCACAGCCCTGCCGAAATCTTGATTTTAGCCCAGTGAGTACCATTTTAGATTTATGAACTAGAGAATTATAAGAAATTTGTGCTGTTTTAAGCCACTGAATTTATGATAACATGTTATTGCAACAATAGGAATCCAATTCAATCAGCTGAAGCCTAAATAACCAGAAGACACAATCACTTCACATTTTTGGCATATCACTTTTGAGAGAAATATTCAAATCTCAAGAGAAACTTAAATCAACAGTTTACTTTTAAGCAAGACCCTAGATTGAATTCCCTTGAAATAGACCCTGACAGGATTGGGGGCCACAGGTTTATTGGGGAGCTCTCTTTGGTGCAAAAAGCTGGATCTGGCTGAGACACTGGCCTGCAATGCAACTGCATCTGAGGCCTTAGGCAATCCTACAGGCAACTCTGGAACTGGGATGGCCCTTCAAAATAGCCCCAGACTGAGGCAAAGGGGCTGAAGCTCTGTATCCACATCATCTGGTTTGAGCGAAAGAATAGCCTTGGGTGAGGCGGTTCCTGGTGGCTCAGAGCAATGCTCAGGCAATAAGATACTGTGAGCCACCCACCTTTGATATTTCTACCTACCGCTGCTGGGGGATGGATGGGTTGGCGCTGAGGAGAGGATCTGGGCAGGCACTAGGATATTCCCTACAAGCAATCTATATTTCTATGGGCATGTCCTGAGATCAATACCTATTCCATCTTGTCTTGCTATGACACAAGAAGAGCTATTATTAATTTAGTGCTTCCTACATAACAGATACTATTTGAAGGATTTTACACTCACCGTCTCTAGTCCTAGCCTCTTCCTAACCTAGCAAAGTAACTATAATTAGTTCCACTCTACAGATGAGGACACTAAGGCTCAGAAGTTTAGACTGGCAGAGTGCTTTGTCCCAGGCCACCCAGCTAGTGAAGTGGCACAGCCAGGTTTTGACATCAAAGCCGGCCCATTTCATCCCCAGTCTTCCGCAGAGCACACGCAGCACACCCCTAGGAAGAGAGTCAGCATTCACAGACATCAACCTGACACCACAAAAATTCTTGGTCCTCAAAGATAAGATTGTATTTGGTAAACTCTGATTCCTAAATAGGAAACAGAGCCTGAGAAAGATTGATAAGATATTAAACAAGGCTGAAAATGAAAAAAAACTTCTGGTGGCCCAGAAGGGTTGAGTTGATCAAAGTTTGTACTACATACTGTAAATCAAAGTTAATTACATTTTTACTCCACGTTGCACATGGTGAATTTTATCATAATTTTTACTTGTGCCTCGGTGTTCTCTTTCCGAGTGGAAGCTCCTGGGGGAAAAGGGCCAAGAGGTTCTAAGTTTCCTTGTATGGCCCCTAGCACCACATCAACACAGGACAGCACATCATAAATACCATTTGATGATTTTCATCCTGCGCATTCACAGCCCCAGACCCCGTGTAAAAGCCTACAAAGCAATATCATTCACTGAAGCGCTACTCTCCTTGCGGGTTGGGTCCAGACAATATGGTGCTCTGGAAAACACTGTAAAAGCTCCCTCTTTAATAAGGATCCTGGTGTCCTGTGATGGATGCTATAAAACCTCAGACCGGCTGGTGTGTTCATAGCCATGTAAGCCCATTAACAGTGTCTGGTCCTGTGGTAACATACTTCATATTCACAGTGCAAAGACAAAGCATTTATTATAAATAATGCTAGGTGACCCTGGAGTAAACACAGCTGTGCCCTCATGGTGTCTTGTCAGTGGTGCTCCCTCAGTAGATTAAAGAAATCCATGTTTTATGGAGCCATCACTTATTCTGTGTATACACAGAGGACTGGTTTGCTATCAACCTGCAGCTCACTGCGTACAAGGTTTCAGGCTCAGGAATTGCATGAAGCTGAGATGCTTCACTAAAATGCTTATTCTTGCACGTTCTAATATTTGCAAAAGGGGATGAGAGTTGGTTTCTATTTGTTCTTAAATGATTTACATGACATTTGGGGCTCTATACAACTTGTGGCTGCCTTTCAGATTTCTTACAGTCTCCTCTCTGCGCTCTGAGCACCCTCCCCTGAAGCTGAGGCTAGGGGAATGAGCATGACTGTCATCCACTAGCTGTGGGACATGGGGCTATTCCTTTAACTCTTTGAGTCTTAGTTTTCTCTCCGTTCTGTTTTTGATTTTTTGTTTGTTTGTTTTTTTGAGACGTAGTCTCGCTCTGTCACCCAAGCTGGAGTGCGATGGCACAATCTCAGCTCACTGCAACCTCCAGCTCCCAGGTTTAAGCAATTCTCCTGCCTCAGCCTCTCAAGTAGCTGGAATTACAGGCACACACCATTACACCAGGCTAATTTTTATATTTTTAGTAGAGACTGGGTTCCGCCATGATAGCGAGGCTGGTCTTGAACTCCTAACCTCAAGTGATCCACCTGCCTTGGCTTCCCAAAGTACTGGGATTACAGGTGTCAGCCACCACAGCCGGCCACTCACTCTCAGCACCTCCTCGGCCTCCGAGCCCACTCTGGCAGCGCTTGAGGAGTCCTTCAGCCCGCCACGGCACTGTGGGAGCCCCTCTCTGGGCTGGCTGAGGCCGGAGCCACCTCCCTCTGCTTGCGGGGAGGTGTGGAGGGAGAGGCGCGGGTGGGAACTGGGGCTGCGCTTGCGGGCCAGTGTGAGTTCTAGCAGGCACCGGCGTGGGTCGGTAGCCCGCACATGGAGCGACCAGCCAGCGCCACCGGCCCAGGGCAGTAAGGGGCTTAGCACCCAGGCCATCAGCTGAGGACGTTGCGCCAGGTCCCCCAGCAGTGCTGGCCTGCTGGCCCCCTGGCGCTGCACTCAAATTCTCCCCGGGCCTTATCTGCCTCCCCGCGGGGCAGGGCTCCAGACCTGCAGCCCGCCATATCTGAGTTCCTCCCCCTGCCGTGGGCTCCTGCGTGGCCTGAGCCTCCCCGACGGGCCCCGCCCCCCTGCTCCGTGGCGCCGGTCCCGTGGACAGCCCAAGGGCTGAGGAGTGCACACGTGGCTCAGGACTGGCGGGCAGCTCGGCCTGCAGCCCCAGTGCAGGACCCACTGAGTAAAGCCAGCTGGGCTCCTGAACTGGATGGGGACTTGGAGAACTTTTATATCTAGCCGGATGATCGTGTGTGCACCAATCAGCACTCTGTGTCTAGCTCAGGGTTTGTGAATGCACCAATCAGCACTCTGTATCTAGCTAACCTAGTGGGGATTTGGAAAACTTTTCCATCTAGCACTCTGTGCCTAGGAGGATTGTATGTGCATCAATCAGTACTCTGTGTCTAGCTCAGGGTTTGTAAATACACCAATCAGCACTCTGTGTCTAGCTCAGAGTTTGTGAATATACCAATTGGTACTCTGTATCTAGCTAATTCTGTAGCTAACTAGCACTCTGTGAGGCTGTGTCTACTTTAAGGATTGTAAACGCACCAATCAGCACTCTGTCAAAACGGACCAATCAGCTCTCTGTAAAATAGACCAATCAGCTCTCTGTAAAATGGACCAATCAGCAGGATATGGGTGGGGCCAGATAAGAGAATAAAAGCAGGTTGCCACGCTAGCCAGCGGCATCCCACTGGAGTCCACTTTGGTGTTTTACTGTTTGCGTTAAATCTTGTTGCTGCTCAGTTTTTGGGTCCGCGTTACTTTTTTGAGCCGTAACATTTGCGCAAAGGTCTACAGCTTCACTCCTGACAGCGAGATCATAAACCCACCGGAAAAAAGCTCCAGACAACCTTTCACGTCTGAAGGAAAAAACTCTGGACACACCATCTTTAAGAACTGTAACACTCACTGTGAGGGTCCGTGGCTTTATTCATGAAGTCAGTAAGACCAAGAACCCGCCGATTCCGGACACAGTAGTACAGAGTAAGATCCCTTAAGCTGCTGGAAAAAAAATAGAGTATATATGCATTTTGTGTTTACATAACATTATTATATAGACATATTAATACGATTTTTGTTAAATATGGACATGTAAAATCATGCACAGAATATGTATTATACAGTTGACCCTTGAACAGCAGGTTTGAACTTAAAGGGTCTACTTACACGTGGATTTTTTTTCAACCAACCAGATGGAAAATTATTCACGGGTTGCAAAACCTATCTATAGAGTAAAGGGGCAACTTTTCATAGGCACAGGTTGTGCAGGGCCGACTGGAGGGCTTGAGTATGCATGGATTTGGATATACGGGAGGCGGAGTGGGGGTCCTGGGACCAGATGACTCTATATGCACATGTAGGTGTGTGTATATGTATATAAAAGGCTTGCATTATTTTAACTGTATACGATTGGTGCAGCAGCATACACATAATTTGTAAGTAAAAACGATACATATATTGGGGTGAGCCACTAGGACCAGTGGACGACATAGCCCAAACTAACACTGCCGTTTGGAGTGGTGAACGAATGCCATATGGTGGTTTTTTCACAAGATTTCCGTCACCTCTCCAACCACTTTCTCTTCATTGGTCAGAATTAGACCTAGAGAGACTGTTCCTTTCATTGTTTTCTCTGCCTTCTACAGACTGAGATACTTGAGAATCTTCCTCAACAATGAAGAGAGTGATGCTGAGGAGGGATTTCTGCCTCAGTGATTAGGGAGGAGACTCTCCTAATTAGGTGGGTGGACCTGTAATCCACACAATGATTAGATTTTTGAAGAAAAACCTATCACTGGAATGAAACCAAATTCTTGAAGGTTCTCTTTATACACAAACTTAGTTGCCTCTCCTCCATTCCGAAAGAAAATATAAATTTTTTCTTTAATAAGATATATATACACACGTGTATGTATATATATGTGTATATATGTGTGTATATATCTTACTAAAATAATGTTTTATTGTCACAAATTCAGGGACACTAAGTATTTGACTTATGTTTTGGGGGCCCACTGTGTGTCAGACATGTTGCTAGGCCCTGGGAATTCATAAATCTCCATGACATCACCTCTGCCCTTGAGGCACTCAAGTGGAGTGAAGGAGATGGGGAAGTCAACAAATATCTTAGTTCATTTTCTGTTGCTTATAGCAGAATACCTGAAACTGGGTAATTTATAAAGATAAGGAATTTATTCTTACCATTACGGAGGCTGAGAAGTCCAAGGTTGAGCAGCTGCATCTGGTGAGGACCTTCTCGCTGGTAAAGGCTCTGCAGAGCATAGAGGTGGTACAGGGTATTACACAGCAAGGGAGGCTGAGCATGCTAGCTCAGGTCTTTCTTCCTCTTCTTATAAAGCCACCAGTTCCCTCTCATGATAACCCATTAATCTATTAATCCATGAATGGATGAACTCATTCATGGGAGCCAAGCTGTCATGATCCAATCACTTCTTGAAGGCCCCACCCCTCAGTACTGCTACATTGGTGATTAAGTTTCAACATGAGTTTTGGAAGGGACATTCAAACCACAGCAACAAAGAATCACAAAGTGTATGTCAAGCAGTGAATTACATATAGAGTTATGGGCACAAGTAGCCTGCCTGTGAAACCAGACAAGGCTTCCCAGAGGGGCACTCCCTTCCAAAAAAGTGAGTTGAATTTGCCAGGTAAGGAAACACAGAGTGGATAGGAGCAGGGCATTGGAGACGGGGATCCTCATTTATGAAGGTTCGGAGGATGGAAGAGACAAGATGACAGCAGGGGTGCATGATTCCACGGGGCAAGAGAATACATGGTGTTAGGGGAAGTGTCAGGATGTGACCTAGTAAGTTAGGTAGGGAAGCTTGTTGAGAGTCGTATATGTTCTGACTTTATCCTATACACAAAGGAGAGGGATGGAAGGCTTATAAGGAGGAGATAGGCATGACCGTGTGGTAGGCTACCCCACTGCGGATTAAACAGATATTTTCCCCTTTTATCATCAGCAACAAAGGTGTCAGAAAAACCGTATTGGATTTATGAAGGTAGTTTCCCTGTGTGTGTAACCCAGGGGTTATTGTGTCCTCCCTAAGAAACAAGGGATAAGAGGCAGCATAGAAGCCTCCCTTTGAAAAGGCCCAAATGCCCTGGAACGACTGAAGATAGCTTGCATTGAACAGCTAGAAAGAGGGCAAGGGGCCTATGGAAAGGGGTGCACAGAGGCAGAGGAAACCCTTTGTGTATTGGAAAGGTAGCCCTGCTGCCAAGGGGAAGAGAAGAGGGATCGATCTCAGTGGTCAGAGACTAGTGAAAGAACAAATCTAGGAGACCTACAGACAAGGAGGAATTGGCTGTGTGTGAGAAGTGAAAGAATTCTTGCAAAAGGCCTCATTCAGGTGTCTGTGGAAGTCACCAGAACTGAAAACATTTTCAGATGAGCTTTCAAGGCCAGCAGCTACTCAGTTTCAGGAACTCCTTCTTATCATCAAGGCCAAGAAACAGAATTGACCTGGGCTGAGCTTGTCCTTTAAGATTATTGCAAGCCATCTGGGTGTGGTGGCTCACGCCTGTAATCCCAGCACTCTGGGAGGCTGAGGTGGGTGGATCACCTGAGGTCAGGAGCTCAAGACCAGCCTGGCCAACATGGCGAAACCCCATCTCTACTAAAAATAGAAAAATTCGCCGGGCTTGGTGGTGCACGCCTGTAATCCCAGCTACTCAGGAGGCTGATGCAGGAGAATTGCTCCAACCCAGGAGGCAGAGGTTGCAGTGAGCCAAGATCATGTCACTGCATTCCAGCGTGAGCAACAAAGTGAGACTCCATCTCAAAAAAAAAAGATTATTGCAAGCCACTTCTCAAGACATGTAACAGGGAGAGTGCAGACATTAGTGGCTACAGGATGTGGTATTTGTAGAGGTGAAGATATTGGGGGTCACATTTTTCAGACCTTAAATAATCAGATCAGTGTTTAGTACTGTTAATTACCAAGTCATAGAACACTTTGTGAGATGTTATTCTATTATCACTACTAAGCACACACACCGACACACACACACACACACACACAAAACTACCTTCAACTTGCCACATTGAGATTTCTCCAAAACTGGAGTCTATTTATTTTATTTAAAAAACAACTTTTTAAAAACAGCCTTAAGGTATAATTCACATACCACACAAGTCATTCATTTAAAGTGTGCAATTCAATGGCTTTTAGCATATAGGTTGAGTTGTGCAACCAGCACCACGATCCATTTTAGAACATTTTCTTTCAGTTTTTTTGAGAGACAGGGTCTCCCTTTTTTTTTTTTTTTTTTTTTTTTTTTTGAGACGGAGTTTCACTCTTGTTGTCCAGGCTGGAGTGCAGTGGCGTGATCTGGGCTAACTGCAACCTCCGCCTCCTGGGTTCAGGCGACTCTCCTGCCTCAGTCTCCCAAGTAGCTGGGATTACAGGCCCGTGTCACCATGCCCAGCTAATTTTTGTATTTTTAGTAGAGATGGGGTTCCCCATGTTGGACAGGCTGGTCTCAAAACTCCTGACCTCAGGTGATCCACCTGCCTCGACCCGCCAGAGTGCTAGGATTACAGGCATGAGCCACCGCACCCGACCTCAGGGTCTCCCTTTCTTGTCCAGCTGGTCTCGAACTCCTGGGCTCAAGCTATCTTCCTGCCTCAGCCTCCTGGGTAACTGGGACTACAGGCACACACCATTACACCCAATCTTAGAACATAGTCATCATTCCAAAAGGAAACATCATAGCCCTTAACCATCACCCCTCAAATCTCCATCCTATTCATTTCTAGGCCACCATGAATCTACTTTTTGTCTTTATAGATTTGCCTATTCTGTACATTTTATATAAATGAAATCCTACAATTTGTTGTCACTTGTGTCTGGCCTCTGTCATTTAGCATAATGTTTTCAAGGGTCATCCATGTTGTAGCACCTATCTGTAAGTACTCCATTCCTTTTTATGGCTGAATAATATTCCATTGTAGGATATAACATTTTTATTTATCCATTCATCAGTTGACATTTGGGTTGTTCTACTTTTGCCCGCTGTGAACATTCATGTACAAGGTTTTGTGTGGATATATGATTTATTTCTCTTGGGTATATACCTAAGTGGGACTGCTGGATCATATGTATACACATGGTTAACATTTTAGGGAACTGCCAGATGTTTTTCCAAAACAGTGCACCATTTTACATTCCCACCTGCAGGGTATGAGAAGAACCTCATTTTAATGTCAAATTCACATTAATTCCTAGGGGAATTCCCCTTTGGATAGACGGGCTGGCTCTTGCCCCTTACTCCTGAGGGAAGAACTGGGACGTGGTCATAGTGCTGTCTTTTGCTTTCAGCCTTGCTTGGAACTTGTTTCAGAATATCTAGGCCATCCCCTTTGTTTCAGGCAGCCTCAACATCTGGGACATTGGAATGCAAGACTTATTTTCCTGTTTCTTACAAGTATTTTAAGGAGAGAAATACTCTGAGATCCTTGAAACAGAATAGCCCAATTTTATGAGGTCTTGGTGGTGGTTGCCAAAACAAAATGAATAGCTGTAATACTTAAAATTGTTGAACGTTAACCTTGGAAGTGATAGTGAAGAGATCGTCTAGTCCAGGCATGGTAAATAAGCAGCAGCTTGCAAGGACGTCTGATGGGTTGTAGGTGCTTGGGAGTATGGAGCTCTATCCAGGCTCAGGAAAAGGACAATGATTGGTTAGCAGTGTCTACCATGGTGGCAGGAGGACATCAGTGGTAGCCCATATGCTACCTATTTGCTCTCTCTGATTGAGGCCACCCGTAGGACTCCCCAGGAAACAGGTGAGGAAGTATCCACGGCTGCACAGCTGGCTAATGACAGAGTTAGAACAAGAATCAGTACAATGTTTTTTCCTCTGCACCATACGACCCTCGGCTCTGAAAAGTGCTTCCTAAAGGGAGCTGCCTGGGGACAGGAATAGGGTAACCCAGTCAGAAGTTCCATTTCTATCCTTCTGTGTTCAGACTGTTCTCATCGGTGCCTATGGGACTTAGTCCATCAGGGTAACTAGTTAATGATTATAAAAGCTTGGTAAAGGCTAACTAATAAAGAGGGGCCGTTCCCACCTGCCGAACCCCTATACCTCCAGCATTCGTGTGGAATGCCCTTTGAAGTCCACAAACCTGATGCATTTGTACACAGGGAGGCGTGAAGGGGATGGGTTTGGACCAAGGAAAAAAGGTGAAGCCCCTTCTGATCTGAAAGGGAATGATCCGGCGTATGAATTCTCCACTTGAACAAAGGGAAAAGGAGTTCCATATTCTGCCCTTAGATCAATCAAACCCCATCTTTCCAGAAGTAGAAAGGACCAACGTCATTCTGGAGGAGGGGAAATGATCTTTCTGCAGGGGAGAAATGAATATTGACTATGAAAGATAGCCATGTTTTGATGGTTACCCCACATTATGAATATATGTAATACCACTGAACGGTACACTTAAAGGTAGTTTAAATGGTAAATTTTATGCCAGGTGCATTTTATCCCAATTAAGAAATTGAGAGAAAATAACAAGTTTTGAAATCCTTAAATCTATTTGAATTTCATTAAGATGTAAAATACGGCCTGAGTTTCTCCTTTTCCATTAGTGAATGAAACTACATAACATCAAAAAGTTTACATAAAACTCAGAGACCTCTTGTAACAAATTCCTTTTCTCTTTTTAAATGTTATTGTATAAAAATTTTATTATTATTATTATCATGTTGTTGTTGATGATGTTTTGAGAGAGTCTCACTCTGTCGCCCAGGCTGGCATACAGTGACACAATCTTGGCTCACTGCAATCTCTGCCTTCTGGGCTCAAGCGATTCTCCTGCCTCAGCCCCCCCAGCAGCTGGGATTACAGGCACCCACCCCTGCGCCTGGCTAATTTTTGCAGTTTTAGTAGAAACGAGGTTTTGCCATGTTGACCAGGCTGGTCTCGAACTCTTGGCCCCAAGTGATCTGCCTTCTTCAGCCTCTCAAAGTGCTGGGATTACAGGCATGAGCCACCATGCCCAAAACTTTGTTTAAATATAAAAAATGAAGCCAGGTGTGGTGGCTTACGCCTATAATCCCAGCACTTTGGGAGGCTGAGGGGGGCAGATCACCTGAGCTCAGGAGTTTATAACCAGCCTGGCCAACATGGTGAAACTTCATCTCTACTAAAAATACAAAAATTAGCTGGGCATTGTGGCAGTTGCCTATAATCCCAGCTACTCGGGAGGCTGAGGCAGGAGAATCGCTTGAACCCAGGGTTGGAGGTTGCAGTGAGCTGAAATTGTGCCACTTAACTGCAGCGTGGGAGAGAGATCAAAACTCTGTCTCAAAAAAATAAATAAAAATTACAAATGATCTCCCTTTTCCTTCTGTCCCTCTATCTTCTTTTTGTTTTTTCCTTCCCATGATCACTTGAGCACCTACCATATTCCCCGCATTATGCTACAGTTCCCATGAGCAAGCCACAGTCCCTGCCCCTGAAGACTCACAATCCAGTAGAGCCTGTGCTATTCCCTATCCAGGGGACAGCCTCAAATTGTACCACAGCCTGGAGTAGGAGGCAGAAACCAATTGCCTCCGGAGGAAAGGGGAAAGGAAAGGTCAGGGATGGCTCCATAAAGACAAGTTACTGGGCAGAGAATTAGGAGAAAAGCATTCCAGGGTCAGCATGCACAGAGGTATGGAAGGTTCCAGAACTGCAAAAAGTTGAAGATCTAAAGTATTAGGTAGATGTGGAGGAGGGACATTGGAGAAGCGTAGTGATCTCTCTTCCCAGACTCCTGGAGGGAGCCTGGCACCAGACCCCTCCTGTGAAGAAGGCTCCTGTTTTTTTCAAAACTAAACCAGGAATGCAGGCCAGGGTATGCGTGTGCGTGTGTATGCATGCATGCATGCGCGCCTGAGACAGAGCTACAGGAATTGGTGATGAATACATTTGTTAAAAATTTGAATTCGTGTCTAACTGTTCCTTTAGATCTCCTGTTGCATAAGATATCGTTTATTTCATTTGACAAGCTCATGACATCAACCTCAAAGGTGAGGACTGCCTCTGTCAGCTAGAGATTTGTTTAAACCTTTTGTGAATGTCATCATTATATTTTTCAGACTGCACCATCTCTTGGATGACAATGAGATGTATAAATTTTCCCTCAACTGTGCCCCATCACTGTCCCCTCTGCCTGTCCTAAACCCACTTCCCTCTCAGTTCAGTGAGTGTCCCCTGGCTCTGGTGAGCAGGACTGGGGAACCCACCAATGAAACAAGTGCCGAGCCTGAGCAGGCTGGAGCAAGGAAATGTCTTTGAGACACTGAATGTTATGAGTGTTCAGCATGGGTTTCTAATGTTATCCATCTCTCTCCTTTCTGTGTGTGTTTGTGTTTTGTTTTGAGATACAAATTGATGTACCATAAAATTTACCATGTAAGAGTATATAATTTAATGGTTTTCAGTATGTTCACAGAGTTGTACAACCATCTTGAAACCAACCATGGTTTCTTTTTGGGGTGAAGAAAGTATTCTAAATTGATTCTATTTTAGAATGTTTTCATCACCCAAAAAAGAATCACGTATCCATTAGCAGTAACTCCTTAGTCTCCCCAGCTCCCTGACCCCTGACCCTAGGCAGCCACTAATCTACTTTCTGTCTCTATAGTTTTGCCTGTTGTGGACATTTCTTATAAATAGAATGATATGATAATATTATATGATATATGTTATATATCATATATATTTATGTATCTTCACTATATCATATAGTATATATCATATATGATATATAATGTGGTTATAAAATAATATGATTATATTATATAGGATTTTGTGGTTGGCTTCTTTCACTTAACATTATTTTCAAGATTCATCTATGTTGCAGCATTGATCAGTATTTCGTTCCTTTTCATGGCTAAATAATATTCCACTGTGTGGCTATACCACATTTTGTTTTTCTGTTTATCGTTTGATGGATATTTGTGTTGTGTTCACTTTCTGGCTATTATGAGTAATGCTGCTATGAACATTTGTGTACAAGTTTTTCTGGGACCTTATGTTTTCATTTATCTTGGTTACAGATGGAGGAGTGGAATTGCTGGCTCGAATGGTAACTCTACGTTTGACATTGTGAAGAACTGCCAAACATTTTGTTTATACTTTAAAAATCTGAATTAAAAGGTAATTTTAAAACTTCAAAATATATGGCTTCCTTCTAACAGTTGTAAAGCAAAAATACAATTTGAAGCCCCCTGCTCCCCTCCACAACCACTGGAATAAAGTTCCTCCTCAGCTAGGGCACTCTAAAATCTAACCTGAAGGACTGGTTCAGGCCATGACCAGAAGTGGGGATTGGACATGCCTCATTAGACCCCTTCAGCATGAATGTCAACAGAGACCTGAAATTTGATAAGAACATTTACTTTTCTCTCTGAAGCCTGCTACTTGGTGGCTTCGCCTGCATGATAAAACCTAGGACTCCATAACCACTTATCATAACCCAGACATTCCTTTCTACTGATAATAACTCTTTCAACCAATTGCCAATCAGAATATGTTTAAATCTACTACGACCTGGAAACCCCCACCTTACATGTATTGACTGATGTATTATGTCTCCCCAAAATGTATCAAAGCAAGCTGTACCCTGACCACCTTGGGCACATGTTGTCAGGACCTCCTGAGTCTGTGTCATGGTGTGTCCTTAACCTTGGCAAAATAAATTTTCTAAATGGATTGAGACCTCTCTCAGATCCTTTTTTGTTTACACAGTTGTACACAACAGTCTGTGCTCCTCTGTGATTATGTGTGTATTATATGGTCAGGGCATCATAGTTTCATCCCTGCAGCTTGCGGCTGGAGCATCCTGGGCTCTGGCTGGCCTAAGCCTGCAGGGGCCGCCATCCGCCTCCCAGGAGAATCCCAGGTTAGCATCTCAGACTCATGGAGGAAGTTTCCTTCCTCTCTGGCCTAAAATCTTGGCTTTGCTCAATGCTCACATCCCGTAGGTCCTGCCCACCCTCTTCCCCTTATGCATTGACCAATGACTACAGGGTCGTGAAGGGTAAAGGCCTGGATAGTTCTGAGGGTGCTGAGTTCCCACAGCAATACAGAGAAGAAAAGACCAAGTGAGACGTTCATCATGACCAGAAGACCTAGGCAATACTATCGTGACGGATCGGGTCTCAGTAGCCCAGACTGGGGAAGGCAGTGGGATGAGGAAGGGTGTCTTTGAGCCAGGCAGCAGGGGTGTGGAGGGGGAGAGCCTGGCCTGCCCAGCAAATTGCCCACCTACTGTGTACCAGCTGCTCTCTGTCCAGCTCCTTATTTACCCCCACCTCTACAGAGCAGGAAGCCAAGAGCTCAGAAACCCTTGCTGAGTGCCCCACAGCAGCAGAAGGTAAACCTGAGCTGCAGACCACATAGGCCAAGTCCCCCGGTCAGCCTCAGACCCCGGCCAGCAGCCCTAGGATCTGGAGCCTGGATACTGGCACAGGAGCAGGGGACTGGCTCCATTTGCTTTTGCCCGGGCATCCATTCCACATCATTCAGTCGCCTTCAAACAGCAGCACCTGGCTCTGCCCAGCAGAGCGGCTGTCACTGCTATTTTAGAGGCAATCATATATTTTTAATAACCAGCAGAATCTCCCTGTGAGAAGGGAGGGAGAGTTGAAATTACAGCCAAGCAATTTGCATTGCGAATCAAGTTATCCTCCCTCCTGCCCTCCAAGAATATGCAGAAATAAATGCCTCCTAATGAACCCTGGGGGGCTAAGGCTTTGATATGAATTCTGCTGTAGGCGTAAAGAGTTCTAGCCAGACTGAGACCCAGCATGAAGTTGAAGCGGGAGGGCCAGGGCCGGTCCCTTCAGCACAAGGGAGAAAGGAAATTGGATTATCTTGCTAGCAGTTGGGGTTTTTCTATCACTTAGAACCACAGATGAGAGCTCCCCTCCTTCAGATGGGGGGAATTAGATTTAGCCCTATTTAACCAGCGGGTTCCTCACCCCACTCCATCCTCTCCATCCTGACTCATAAGTCCTCCAGCCCCATCCAGACTCCCTGGGTCTACCAGGAGCATCAAAGCCTTTGTCTTTTCCAGGACTTAAGAAGACCTATGAAAGATGGATGGATGGATGGATGGATGGATGGAGACAGACAGACAGACGGACAGACAACCTTTCTATCTGAAGTCAGGTAACCTTTCCTTCTGGCTGCCACTGGCAAAACACCGGCTTCTCTGTCCTCCTCCATGGCCTCCAAGGTCTGTGTTTACTCAGTACAGGAAGGTGTGCGTGTTGCAAGCACGCCTTTGTAGGAATGAGCCATATGGGGGCTGGCCTGTCAGCCAAGTGGCTGGGTAGAGTGCGTCTATGGATCTGAGGGTATGTGCATGTGATATTTATGTGGACTTGAGAGCATGTGGTAATAATGGTTTATGGGGACTTGTGAAAGAGGGGGTGGGAAGCCTGTTCACTGCCTGCCTTGGGCAATGCATAGAAATGGGCACGAGCCCAGCGTGGACAAAGGGAATTTGCAGGAGATCTCCAGCTCCCTGTTGCTCTCACCTTTCCTCAGAACTACAGACACATCCTACTGATCAAGATTTCTCCTCCTTCTCTGCTGGTCCTGCTTGAAAGGGGCCTGGAAGCTCAGCAAACCTCTTGGCGTGAAATGAGATCTTGCGTGCAGAGACAGGGTCTCTCAGTGATTGAGCAAGTGGGGTGTCCATCAGACAATTCCATTTCAAAGCCCAGATCCACCAGTTGGGATAAGTAAAACGGGTTCCTCTATCCTTCTACTTCCTCATTTATAAAATGGGGATAGTAAAAAAGAAATCCTATTGGGTTGTGGTAAATACTTATTAATAAATGTGAGTCACTTTTGGAGTGAGTGGATTAGTAACTGCTCAACACTTTAGGATCCCATTATTGCAACTGGCATTGGAGTAAGATGATTTAGCCTTTTGAAGGCTTTCTGAGGGACAGTGGGTGGAGGCCTGTGGGTTAGGGCCATCCCCAAGGGAATCATTGAATCCATGGTACAAGGAAGGTCTCTGCTGATAAGGGTGCTTTCAGTATTTCTTTGTCGGTGATGGCACAGTATACATAAGTTTGAGGAAATTGTCTACATTAAGATGCCCCTGGGAAATAAAAAGAGAGAAAGGGGAAACTATTATGGATTAAAACAAAAAGACACATAAGAGTCATATTAGTCAAATGCAATTGGGAACACTGATTGGATCTTGATTTAAATGAATAAAATATAAAAATATATTTGTGGGACAATCAAGAAAATCTGGACATTGAGTAGATACTATATCATGTTAAAGAATTATTGCTGGCCAGGCATAGTAGCTCACGCCTGTAATTCCAGCAGTTTGGGAAGCCAATGCGGGTGGATCACTTGAGGTCAGGAGTTTGAGACCAGCCTGGCCAACGTGATGAAACTCCATCTCTATAAAAAATTTAAATAAATAAAAAATAAGTAAAAAATTAAAAAGGAAAGAACTATTGTTAATGTTTTTAGATGTGACAGTGGTATTGTGGTTATGTTAAAAGACCAGATGATCTTTATCTCTTAGAAAATATACTGAAATAGCCGGGCTTGGTGGCTCCAGGGCTTGGAGGCTCACGCCTGTAATACCAGCACTTTGGGAGGCCGAGGCAGGCAGATCACAAAGTCAGGAGATCGAGACCATCCTGGCTAACACGGTGAAACCTTGTCTCTACTAAAAATATAAAAAATTAGCTGGGCGTGGTGGCAGGCGCCTGTAGTCCCAGCTACTCGGGAGGCTGAGGAGAATGGCGTGAAGCCGCGAGGCGGAGGCTGTGGTGAGCGAGACTCCATCTCAAAAAAAAAGAAAAAAAGAAAAGAAAATATACTGAAATAGTCGTGAATAAAAGAATACAATATTTTGGGTTTAATTTAAAAGAATCTAGCTAGTGGGGGTGGTTTGGAAGCAGGGAGAAGCAGATGAAACACAAGATTGGCAAAGGGATGGTTCAAGAGGTTTCATTGTATTGTTTTCTCTAATTTTGTGTATTTGGCCATTTCCATAATTAAAATATTGAAAAGAAAAAAAAAAAAAGAAGCCCCCTCTGGATCTGCCCCTTGGAGGGTGGCTTCTGCCCTCTTACAATGTCACCAGAGCAGCATGATTCACTTAGGCCCTTGGACCCACAGGGAGGGCCAAGGCTCAGCGGTGCTTTCTAAGCCCTATAAATCAACAAGCACAGCTGAAGCCATTTAGTAGGAAGCTTGTTAATAAGAAAAATATGGTTTAAATGGGTCATTTTATTGGAGAGAGGGAGCAGAAGATGATGGAGAACAGGGCCCCCCTGGCAAGGAGGAGGTTTGTAAGTAGTGCCAAGCTCTCCTTCACAGGCAAGTGTTGGATTGCGTTAACTCTATCATGCCTCAAACCTTTTCCAGGAGGATGGGGAACCCAAGATGGGAGCAACAGGAGGGGGGATGGGCCCAGAGAATGTGCAGAGGAGAGCGCCCCTTGGGTTATCCACCCACCAGAGATGTGTGGGTCCTTCAAGGGGCAGCTGGGAATTTTCAGATTCTAGGAAGACCACAACTGGGCTGGAGCATGGACTCTCATGTGCGACCCAGGGCACAGAACTGAAGGGAGAAAGTCAGCTTGAAGTTTTCAAGAAGGGTAATGAGCCAAAGAGATAAGAAAGACCTCTAGAGAGGAGGGACTTCAAAGGAAAAGAACCTAAAAGGGAGCCTGAGGAATCAATAATGCAGTCAAACCAAGGTAAGGACAACTGTGCTTGAAATGCACTGGAAAGTGTTTTTTATGGTAGTTGCCTTGGAGGATCATGAGACTTAGCTTCCTTAGCCCAAGGACTAAGAAGGTCCAAGCACCTGAGTTTAGAGCTTGGGTAATGACAGACTAAGGCAATGAAGCTGAACTGATCTGATTTTTCATTGACGAGGACCACTGCATGGGTCACAGGAAGAAGAACACTGAACTTGTAGTCAAAAGACCCAAGTTCCAGTAGGCTTTGCCATTTCCTAATGAGGAAACTGAGCAATCAATCCCTTGAACTTTCATCCTGCGTTTCCCCATTGACTTATAGGATGAATGATACCTGTTTCATAGGCTTCCTGTCAGAGCCATATTTGTGCAATAAAAAGTGCCTAGGATTTGGAGTCAAGGCGCCATGGAGTCTTAGGCATGAACCGAACCATCACCCTGTGATTTCAAGCCATCAGTCAATGCCTCTGAGCCTCTGTTCCTCATCTGAAAAACAAGAGAGGAATACCAGCCTACATGAAGAAGTAGAGAGAAAATGTAAGTAATCAGCTTAGCATAGTACCTGGCACATGGTAAATACCCAATAATTGTAGGAATTAGTATTAGTGATATAAAATATAAGAATAAGGAGTGCTTGCTTCAGCAGCATTTATGCTAAAAACAATTGGAATGGTACAGAGAAGATTCACATGACCCCCGTGTGAGAATGACATGCAAATTCATGAAGCATTTCATTTTTTTTAAAGAAAGAACATTAAATGAGGTTAAATGTGGGAAGTCACTAAGAATGGCACAGAGAAAGTACCGTGGGTGAGGGAAGGAAGTTCAGATAGTCCCAGACTTCTGGTTAAAATGGTGCCTTCCTCAACTTAGCATTTACCATT